CGCGCTCAACGAGACGGTGCTCGCCGAGACGGCGGCGCGCATCTGGAAGCTGTGGGATCTCGACGGCTCGTTCGGCTGGGACTTTCCCATGCTGGCGATGAATGCGCTGCGGCTCGGGGACGCCGCGCGGGCGGTCGAGTACCTCCCTGCACCCGACGTTCCGGTTTGACGATGCCGGGTATCCCGTGGGCGGCACGCGCGTGCCGACGCCGTACTTTCCCAGCGCGGGAAGCCTGCTCATGGCGGTGGCCATGATGGCGGGGGGCTGGGACGGGAGCGAGGGCGCGCATTTCCCCGAGGCGTGGACGGTGGCTGTAGAGGGGTTCGTGCCGGGCCTGTAGTTGAATTGTCCGCTGTGCTCTATCCTTCGGCCGTGACGAACGTTCTGTTCGTGGCCAGTTCGTTGTCAATTCATGCTGAATGCCAGGAGGCAATGATTCGTCGAGAGCTTGGCAGCGCTCCTGAGTCCGTGACTGAAAGATGCCGCAAACTGCTTACCCGCACATGAAGGTGTGCATATCTTCACCTTGCGTTTCGTCCAACATCATGAGAAGAACCCGAGACGAGCTTTGAGGGAACAGAGGCTGAATACTTTTATTTTCGACTGGCGTGCCACCACCCGCCAGAGGGGGGAAAAAAAAGCAGCCAGACGCAGGGCGGACGGCATTTCACAATATTCTGCCGCCCAACCCCAACCAGCCCCCGTCGTCGCACCCACCCCAAGAAAAGCAGGGCAGGCATGAAACGATCTTTGATGAACATGATCATGTGAAGCTTCTGTCCTCTCCTCCCCGTCCTGCTACTCCTTCTCCTCCCCCAATGTCGCTTCCTCGCTGGTACCAATCGTCCTGTTCCAGTCGTGCTGGTCCCAATCGTCGCTGGCTCCCACCAGGCAGCTCAGAGGAGTATCTCCCCCATGTTCTCGCCCTCAAACCCCGCTCCGCGCCAGCTTGCGCAGCCTCGCCTTCTCCTTGCCCTTGTCGGCGTCCTTGCGCCCCTCGGCGAGGCGGTGCACGACCTCGGGCTCGCCGAGCTCGTAGCCCGGCGGCGGGTCGTCGTCCTTGTCGAGGTCAATCTCGCCGAGGAGCAGCACGTTCTCGCCGCGCACGAGGAAGACGCCGCGCTTGATGTCGGCGTAGAGGCCGCCGCGCGGCTGCTGGTCTGGTGACGGCGTCGTCGCGTGGCACCGCTGCGCGGCGGCGACGGGTGCGGGGGCGAAGACGCGCTCGACTGTGTCTGGAGAACGAGGTTGCTGCGTTGCGTGGTCTGTCAGGGTCCGTCCTCTGGCAGACGAGGGGTGTCTCCTCGGCTTCATGGCGTGCAAAGTGCGGGAATGCGAAGACTTGGAAGGGGGGAGAGGGGGGAGAGGCATACCGAATTGGTCCCAGCTGCGTAGAACACCGATGAGCTTGCGGCCGTCGCGCAGAGCGACCATGAGCTTTTCTAACAAAACACGGCGCGTCAGTCCCATCCTATCGTCTCCTTCGCCAATGGCCAAGAGGCGCGCTTACTGTCGGTGAGGTCGAGGAGCTGGGCGGCCGTCGTGAACATTTGCGGCGGCAGCTGCTGCTGCTGCTGCTGCTGCTGTTGCGGGGGAGGGACGCCGCCGCCCAGGACCGGCTGGCCCTGGTGGGAGGGGTCTTCTATGGAGAGGTGCTCCATGCTGCTGTGCAGTCTATCTGTGTGTTTGCGATGATTTCTTCTCTTCGTTGGTTTTTTCCTGGTTCGTCGTCGTGAAGGGGTTCCGGGATCAGGTCGTGCGCATTGGGTTATGCGGTCGCTGTGCTGGTGGGTAGGGATGGCGTCGTCGTTTGGCAGGACATCGATGGACGGGTGGTGAGTGTGACCGGCGTGCTGTTTCCTACAATGCTGGGCAGCACATGCTCGATGGTATGGTACGCAGTGTCGGGGCAAGGGGAGCAGCGGTTGCGTGGGCGATCGCGAATGGTTGAGCAACTGAAGTGAAGCCGTCACCGGAATCGGGTGGGTCGTTCGGCGTTGCGTGTGGGTGCTCTTGCTGGTGCTCCTGCTGGGCGGCTCGTAGTGGAGTGCACGACTGCTGGCTCAGGAGGTGGGGCTCTTGATGCGCCGCCGGAAAATGCTTGTTGCCAACCCGTGCACCGCCTCGCCCGAGTCCAAGTGCGTGCTTGCGTTGAGATGCCTTGCGTAAGGGACGTACATTTGACCAGGCGAGCCAAACCACTGATGCGTTTTCACTGCATGTTGACTGGTATCACAATACTGAAGCAAAAAACCATAGTACTAGGCAGCACCTTTTCTCATCATCTTGTTCAGCCTTCTAACCTATTTTGTTACAATTTCTACAGTGAAGCCATTGTGAGTGGCTGTGCCCTCCACTGACGATCTCTCGTGCCACACTGCGGGGTCATCACGCGAGGGGGGTGGCCTGCGGCGGCCTGCCACGGTACCTTAGAAGAAGCTGTCAATGCTGCTTTCCTCACAGCAGCGAGCACCTGTATCCAGCCCCCCCTTCGCTGTCTACGCTGTCCACACTGTCCGCTGCCCGCTGCCCGCTGCAGAGCCTTGGCCAGAAGCAATCCCAGAACTTGGCCCCCGAACATGGGCATGCGGCATGCACAGCAAAAATGACTACGTTGCTGGGTCGTATTCGGTGCTAATGTGCTTTTCGCACCTTTCTATCGTCCATGTGGGATGACGCTCACGGCCCGACCATGACGCAGCGTCATGCTTCGACCTTCTCTCTCTCGCCGCCGAGAATGCATATCTTGCGCGTTAGCTCCCCGACTCTGTGCCTCCCTGTAGAACAAGGAGGCCATGCCAGCAGCCTGATGAAAAACAAAAAAGACTATAACCACACTGCAGCCCCCGTCCGTGATTTCTATGCCGCGCCAGCCCCGGAAACGCCTTGATCCAGATGCATTGATGTTTAATTCATGTCTTTTGGGAGTGGTTAATATCGCACGCAGGATTGTAAAGCAAAATGCAACGGCCGGCAAGACCGTCAGAGGAGGACCTTGACACGCAAAGATGGTCGGTCTGGCGCGCCTCAGGGCAAAGCGCCCCATGCGACTTCCTTCTTGGTGTTGATCTGGCGAGAGCCATGGCCGTGATGGTCGGCAGCCGTGTTCCTCTCCGAACGCGATATTGCCTAGAAGAGAGTGTGCGCTGATGTAACGCAACCATGCAGCTCGTCTTGCCCCAAAAAAAAAAGGGGTGGGGGGAGGGGGGGAGCCCAGAGGTCGTCCCCATCGCAACAGCGTGCCGTGGCTCAGTACAGCCGCGTTCGACAGGGCTCAACGCGTCATGGTACACCTGTTGAGAGCTTCAAGGAGCTCCGGCCGCAGCGCCAGAGCATCCTTGGCCTGCGCATACGTCATCCACTGCCGCTCCCTCTTGTGCGCTTCGGGCCACTTGTCTTCCTGCCGGGTCACTGTGGCTTCGTAGAACCGGTATAGGCACTTGTCCTTGCTGCTGCCGTGTTTCGGGGCGCGCGTGTCGGGTATGTCGCCGAGGTCGTAGTCGATCTGGACGAAGATGCCGGCCTCCTCCCAGGCCTCCCGCTCGGCCGCCTCGGTGCACTCCTCGTCTGTCTCCCAGCCGCCCTTGGCAGCACCCAGCCTTTCCGACGTGTCGATTGGATAAGCAGTACAAAAGCGCTTGTCCTCGGTCAGCGGC